CACCCCCTAACCTAAGCCACCCCCTGCCCCCTTACACGCCCAGCAAGTGCAATTGAGCCAAGTTAACACAATTTCCCCAAAAAACGAAGACAAAGCAAGCGAAGAGCAAGGGGGGGGGGGGGTGGCTGTCCTTAGGGAGGGCTGCTGGAGAGGGTGGGGTGTGGAGGGGAGGGGGTGGCAATTGTAGAAATTACGCTGATTGAACACTAATTTATTTGTTTGTTTGTTTTAACATTTGGCGCATTGAAATGCGGGAGTCGAAAATGGATAAAAACTTTTTCGACTTGGCTCGGAAAACGAAGGCAGTCAAGGTGCAAAACAGGGTAAAGAGAGGGGGTAGGGGGTAGGTCTGAGGGGAAGATTCTGGCTATTGATTGTCTGCAGCTGGTTGCTTCTTTATGCTGCTTCAGCTGCTGCTGTTTCTTGGCTTTTTTGTTGTTGTTGTTGTTGGCCTTCGTTAATGTTGCAACATAAAAGTGCAGTTGATTTGTTGTTGTTGTTGTTGCTTTTTAAGTCCTTTTTTCGCTTAATTGGCTATAATTGAAATCAGTTTTGCGGAGTGGGAAATGCCAAATGCGAAATTCGAATGGGGCAAAAAGCAAAACGCCAAAAGAAAACTTGAAACTACTTAAAATTGATAGAAATTGATTTCAATTCTGTTTTTTTCTTTTCATTTTTGGCTAGTTGCAAGATGCATCTTGAAGATACGTACACTCGGCGAAAAATTAGATGCAATTTGTAAGGGAATTGATTAATTAATTAATTAAGAAATTGACAACTTGGCTCTGTGTTCAAATGGATTTTTTAAAAATTATATTTGAAAATTAACAACTGTAAAATTATTGCAAAATTGATAGAAAACAAAGTAACGGTTATTTATTTTTTGTAGGGGTTTCCGCTGAAGCAAAACAGGCAAAATGAAAACATAAATAAAAAATAAAGCACAAAGTGTCAGGCGTAAAACAAACTGGCCGAAAAGTTGACCACCTGCCACGCCCACACACACACAAGCCATTGAGTTGGCCATGTCTGCGGCGGCATCTGTGTGTGTGTGTGTGTGTGTGTTTGTTTGTGTTTCGCTTTTAAGCTGCCAAATCCGACAATTAAATTATTGCATGACAAAACATGCACCGCAAAAATATTCAAAACGCGCCAAAAACACAGGATGTAAACAACAGCAATGGACATAAGGACACTACACACTACACACTACACACACACACTACACACACACATACACACACAAACAACAACTATGCAAACAACAAGCATTAACAAAAAAATCACTCCACAAACCGAAACAAATTCATCTTCCACAAAAGGAGTAGCAAAAAAATATTCGAAAAATAAAGCAAAAAAGCTGAGAAAATCTCCAAAAAAAAACATGCAAATACACACACACACACAGAAACACACACACGCATACAAATTCATGCTGAAAAATATCCCGCAAGCAAGTTGGAAAAGCGTCACAGGCTACCGGAAAATGGCGCGTTAGAAAAAAGAAAACATACGAAAATAAAATTACAACAAAAAAAAAAATAAAAAATGAAAACGAAGCTGAAAAAATTATGAAAGGCATGATGACAATTTAATACCCTTGAAGTTTATTAATATATAAATAAGTAAATTTATTTAAAAAATAAAAGTTTTAAAATTGTATATGAAAAAAATAGTAATAACTGAAAATATTATAAATAAATAATATATAAAAAATATAAATGATTTTTTATAGTCGAAAGGAAATTAATACAACTAACAAAAATATTTAAAAAATTAAAGAAATATATTTTTATATTAAAACTTAATGTTAATAATAAATGCATAAATAAATCAAATAAAATAAAATAAATAAAAAACTCAATTTTGTTGCTATAAAAATGCTTTCATTTGCTGTTTGACAACTTGGCTCATGCAACTAAAATAGCCTGGCCAAAAAGGATACACAGACGGAACTGGAGAGCAAAAGAATTTGCCATATCGGCTTGCTGAATGTCCTGGCTGATGTCCTGGCTGATGTCCTAGCTGTTGTCCCGACTGTTGTCCTGTTGTTGTCAGACATGCATATAGCTCATGGCAATAATTTGAAATTCGATTACCATAACCAAGTACTCGGAAAACACAAACAGCGCACAGCAGCGTTGCTGGGGCATGAAGTGAAGGTTGGTTAAGGGAGTGGCAGGTGGGGGGAAGGGGGTGTGGAAAAGGAGTGGGCAAAGGGACAACCGATACGGAAACAGGCAACACAAGGTAAACGTGAAAGGCCAAGAAGAACAACAAATATATTCAGCGGCCTACGCTCGAGCACATATATATATATATATGTATATATATATATATATATGTGTGTGTGTGTTGTGCCCGTTGGGGCAAAATGGCGAAAAACGTTGTCTAAAAGCGCATGGCCAAGAAGACTGTGGCCAAAAAGCCAAAATGTGAATATATCAGAAATTTGAACAACACCAAAGTAAATGAAAAATGTAGAAGCTAACAGAAAAAAGAAGTGGTTTGTGTGTGCGCCAAACTATGACAGACAACACACACACACATACACACACACACACACAGAGAGAGACATATTTGTTGTTGTTGGTTTTGGCCTCAAGTCCAAGTGAAAAAGTCGTCGCCAGCTTTTCAACTCACGCCCACAACTCAATTTTGGCCCTGCCCCTCTGCCAGTCGGGTCAAAAGGTATGAATTGAGGGGGGTTTGTTGGCCAAATATGCCGTTTGATAATTTGCAAAATGGATTTGCAAATAGCGCAGAAATGGGCAAAATGGCTTTCGACTTTAGCATTTTGGAAATTGCAATCGATTTAAGTAGTCGAAAGTAAGTTCAACAATTTTACGGCTGCCAAAAGTAATGCAATTTGTATTTATATTAAACATATTGTTGTACAATCAAAAATATATTTAAATAAGCAGCGAATATTTCCGAAAATACATTTGATTTATTATAATTGTATTTTAGATATTTCTTAATAGAATAATATTTTTGATTTTATTTTAATTTACTTTTTATTTCTCGCATTTATTTTTGTAATCTCATTTCAATATTTATTTATTTATTTATTTCAAATTTGCATTTGTGATATTATTTTTATTTTTAGTGCTTTCTTATTTAAATATATATTATATATATTATTCCGAAATTGAGTTACTTCAGAGTTGAATGAATCTTTAGTAAACTATTCACCCACATTCACTTCGTCTGCCCTGCTGCTCCGGAGGGACCCATTTCTAAGAAGTCATGAATATTGAGTAGGTCTTGCCAAAGGTGTGAAGAAGGAGGTGGAGGGGGGGTGGACTGCGTTTGGTGGCAAGTAAAATTGCAATCTAATAAGCATCATAATAAACTTTCGCTAGTTGCCTTATCAACTGCAGCTGCTGCTGTTGCACACAACATGCATTTATAATTAATAATCAACAGCAGCTTAAAGATTTTAATTAAAATCCACAACAGACGCACCAAGAGAGAAAGAGAGAGAGAGAGAGAGTGCGAGAGATGTGCTCTAGGATGTCCTGTGAAGGTCCCTTATCTCTCCACACATATATTGTCGAGCGAAGGTAACATTTGCCACCCGCTCGATTTCTTTTAATTTAGCCGCAGTGACCTGCATCGAAATGCTTTTGTGCACTGCCACCGTGTGTCCTGGACACCGAGCAGCATCTGCTCCTACCTGCTCCAACTCCTAGTTCTATATATATATATAGATATATAGATATATGCGTACAGCGTATACTCTAACCCGTATTGCTTTAAGCCGATAGATGTCTCCTTGCAGCTGCTCCAACTTCAATTTTAAGCAGCATTTCATTTAATTTTTGTGCTCTTTTTTAGCTCTTTTTGTATGTCCTTGTTGTGGGTATTTTGATGTGTCGCATCTTAAATTATATTTAGCAATAGTCTCGTAATACTCTCCATATCAAAATTGTTTCTCTCTCATTGCAACAATCTGTCAATAATTGATTTTGTTGCTTTTTAATTATTTTCTAAAATTTGTCAATTTGAGTTGAACCCAACTTTTGTCAGTGTATGCCATCTTCGGCTTGCTAATGGCGAATATCCTGTCGTGCGCTCCTTTTTTTTATATTTGTATTATTTTGCAACTTTGCCAAGTTTCAGTTTCAGTTGCAATTACTTGGTGCACCTGAAGTGGAAGTCGGGCCAAAGGTTAGCGACTATTTGTTTGTTTGTTTGTTGTGTTTGTTGTTGTTATTGTTGTTGTTGGGATTCTCTTTCAACGTGGCTGTGTGTGTGTGTGTGTGTGTGTGTGTGTGTGTGTGTGACCAACGGTTTGAACCAACAAGTTTACACCAGTGCCCCGCCCAATTGCAGCTCGTATTTTCTCTCATTTTTTTTTATTTTTATTTTTTTTACCTTTTTTTAATAGTATTTTTCTGGTTTTCTGTTGACTTTGCGCTTTCTATTTACGCTTTGCTGTTGTTTGTTGAATTTCAACTGCAATTATGTGAATTTTTACCGTGCACAGCATAAAACAATTTTGCCCAACGCCACCCACAGAGCCCCACCCCCCGACTTAAAGATACACCAGAAATCTATCTATAGAAATATAAGTTGGCCTGTGGCTGCGGGGCAGCAAGTTTTGGTCAAGCTCAAAGTTAAACAGCACGGCGAAAGTAAACTCAGTCTGAAAGTCAACCAATAAACCGATAAAGAGTCCTCAGCAATAAAATGAGAGAGAGAGAGAGAGAGAGAGAGAGACAGAGAGAGAGAAAGAGATGTAGAGAGAAGTGGAGCTGAAGTTACGATAAGATAAAAATTTAACAATGATGCCTGCCTCGAAGTGAACTCGACGACCCACAATTTATGGGCGAATAAAAAAAACGCCAACAAAATGGTAAATATTGAATACAACTCTTAAGCTCTAAGCTCAAAAGGCGAAATAGATTTCCAAGTAATTGTTTAGAGAATCCCAAGTAGGCGCTGGGAATCGAGAGCAGCCGTCACAACTGAGTCAGCCCTGCAGCCTCATTTAATGTTTTGAACTGTTCCACAACACAACTAAAAATTGTAGATAAATATTATTCCAGCGGATTCATAGTCAATTTTTTGGAAGTCAAAATATGTCCGAAGCTGCAAAGAAAAATGGTGTAAGAAAAAAGAAACATGAAATAAAATAAAGAAATATAAAAATAATAATCAACTTTAATTGCAGAAGCAAAGCGATGATAAAACTGTAGACGGGGGAAATCAGACATCAGATGTGGAAACGCAGTTGCAGGCCGAGGCCACTGATGATGATGATGATGATGATGCAGAGCCAGCTGCTGCTGCTGGTGCTGCGGATGGTGCTACTACTTCCGCTGCTGCTGCTGCTGCTCCGGCTGATCGTGGCAAGGTCAGAAAGAAGCGAAGAGCTGGCAAAACCTTAACGCCGAGCGTCATTTGTCGCATCTGCAAGATGCCCTCGTCGACCTACCGCAAGCCGGCTGGCGACAGCTCCGCTGAGGTGATGTACACCAATTCGGAATTCACTTCATTTTGTGAGTCCGAAATTGGCGACATTTTGCCGTCGACATCGGTGAAACCCCAACGCAAACGGACAATTGCCAAAAAGCAGACAAAAACCCTGAAAAAGAAGCGCAAAACTAAACGTTCGATGATGAAATCGGTTCTAAGTTTGTGTCCAACTGAGGATATTTGTGGCATAAAAAGTACACAAAGGAAGATGACGACGAAGAAGAAGAAGAGCAAAGTATCGAGAAAGTGCCTCTGCACCGAGGTGAATGGCAACATATTCAAACTGATGGACTTTCCACTTGGCGTCAACGATGAGCAATCCATGAGGCGTTACATCCGTCAACTGCCCACATTCGCCATTCGGCGTGCTTTCAAAAGCTCCAAATATTGTAATTAATTCTATAAACAAATAAAAATACAAATTGTGTGCTCAAATGAGGACAAAGAGCTTTTCAGATAAGAACACATTTAAAGTTGGAAACTCGTTTTTAACTAGAAAAGAAAAAAAGCAAAAAGCATGTCAAAATTTGACACCCCAAAAAGACGCTTTTGTTGTCGATTGCATAAGTCGAATTTGTTCTATATTCTACCGGGTACTAATTGTTTACATCTATACTTAAATAATTAGTGTGAAGTGTTGCCAATGCGATTGTTTTTAGTTCTCAAAAATACTCTATAAAAGGCACGCCTGAGCTGAGAAGTCAAGAGTAAAATGAAGTCGAATTTGATTCTATTAACTATTTTGGGTGTGCTGTATGCATACAACAAAACGCTTGGAGTACCGCCCAACAAAGCATAATGCAAAATGTATTATTTTGCTAGAAAACTGATATTGATATAAATAAAGAATGTTATAAGTTTGACATCAGAAAACATAAATAAAAAAGCGGTGAATGTCTTGAAAAAGTGAAGCTAATTCTTGTTCTGTTAATTGTTTAGGATGTTTCAAAAATCTACGGATCAAACATGGTTTTACCTGAAGGATATCAGCACATTTAAAGTTGAAAATGGTATTTTCGATTTTGTAATATCAGCAATTTTTGATCTTGATTTGATCTTGAGAATAATGCTACATAAAAAGTTGGAAATGCAAAGTTGGTTCGAAATTTTCCATAGAAAAAGATCAGATAAAAAAAATCAATAACAAAGTATTTTTGATTTTGGTTTTCACTCTAGATTAAAGTTGCAAATACGCTTATAAATGTAAAAAATATGCCAGTTTTCGCCAAGTGTACATAGGTGTGTGTGTGTGATTATTCGTGTCCTTAAATCCACTTCCGGTGCGACAGATCCTCCTGTCACGTAGACGTTTCAGTTTGCTTTGAGTTTTCAGTTACAAGATTTGGCCAGCGAAGCAATCACCAAATAAAAAGCTGGACAGTTGCTGAGCTGAGTTTCAATTTTCACTTAAAACAAACTTGGCACATGACGACCGGCAAAGAAAAACAAACACATGGCCAAGAAAGGCGCTGCCGGGAAATGTGGAGAGACCAAAAAAAAAAAAAAACGAAAAAAACAAGAGAGAAAAAAACATTCAGAGTACAAGGAATTTTTGGGCGGGGCACTCAGGCGTTAACAAAGCGCGCATAACATTTTGCTGTGGTTGTTGTTGTTGCTGTTGTTGTTGTCTCTTTTGTTGTTGTTATTGTTGGGTTTGTAATCAGAGCAAAGTAGCGGCGGGAGACACATGCCTTTGGCCCCCTTCTCCATCCGCCAAAAGCCCCCTTTTGCGACTGCTTACGTGATTTTGGCCAAGCGCGTTTGGCATTGCAGCAAATCACGAGTTCGAGTCAAGGGGCAACTGCAACAAAAAAATACAAATGGAAAAAAACGAGGTGTACTAAAAGCAACTAAAAATAAAAATAGGCAGATGATTTATTACCCTTGCTGATAACTGAGCAGATCTTTAATAAATAAAAGCGAATCTTTGCCAAATTTACAAGATAATCAGACTTAAGACAAAAATTAGAAAAGTCCACAATTTAAATTAAATTAAAATTAAGGTTACAAATTACAAGTTGTCAAGATATATCAAATATAGTAAAAGAGATGCCGGATATGTGTAAATATTTTATATTATTTGTTTTGAATGCTAAACTTGTGTTACCCGCAGAAAGGGTATAAATTCGTTGCACAAAATCTGAAAATGAGCTGGCCAAATAAGTGTATGTGTTAGCTTTGGCCTGATGAACACAAGTAGAGCAAATAAAAAGCAAAAAGTTTGTGGCTCACGTGACATTTGTTCTGGCCACTGCTTCCTTTGTCATTGCCACATTGCCACATTGCCTCATTGTTGGCAATTCGACAGAACGTACCTGCAACGAACAACAAGAGTCGAAGCTTGATTAATAAGCATGCAACGTTTAATAGAATTTAGTCTATATACAAATTGCTTCATTACTTGTGTGGTATTTATAATAAGTAGTCTGAAATCTTAGCTTGACTTGAAATTGTATACGAAAGTTGCAGTTAATGTTTGGTTTTCTTCCATTGATAATTGCAAATGAAAACAGCTCAAAATGATTTCTTTCTTATTTGTTTATTTAAGCACATTTCGATGTGGTTCATTGATTATTTGGTCTTTCTTATCACCGGTTTCTGTGTGGGCAGCGGTCCCTCGTGTCGACTAATTGTCTTGTCCCACCATTTGCGGATGGTGCCCTTCTGATTTGCCCCAACGTTGTACTTGGCCCTTCTGCACTCATCCATACGTATATTCTTCCGGTATCCCCACTCGCAGTTCGCACTCCGTGAGCTTATTTGAGCCTCACAGGCTTTCGTCTCATTATTCCACACATAACCAGTTTCGCAGGCCAACAGATCAACCCCTGCCACATTGCCAGCTGGTGCTGGCTGCACAACAATCAGCGATAAATTCTGTTGCAACAAGACAAACAATGACAAACCATTCAGCGACTGCATTGCTTGACAAGTTAAGGTTCACTTTTGGTGAAGAGTTCGATAATATTAATGACTTATCCAGTCTCCAGTAATTAGTAGCATAACCGTTGTAAATTTAATCATAAATGCATTTTCCTTAGTTAATTATAGTTAATTTTCCATCCACTTGCAACTATTTAAATGCAAAATATCTTGAAATATTTATATATATTATTTATATAAATATATTATTATCATTATAGATATTTATTCTGATGATATTGTTGATCTCTCGATCCTTTTGCTAAGCAACATCAAATCGCAGCGAACCACTTGCGGAAGTTGCCCAGTTGACCTTTCTGGCCATTTATAGCCATATTTTCAATTATAACAACTGAATTCTAGCTGATTAAAAGCTGAAGTTCACATCTTGTCTTCCATTTACTTAATGATTAGATCAGACCAACTTACAGCTGCATAGCTTCGCATTTTAGTTACTTTTCTTCGATTTCACACTTGTGTTCCGCTCTTGAACCTTCGATGAGGTTCTACTCATCTAAAGTAAACTAAAATTGGACACACAAATTTAACTGGCTCGACAACTATCACAAATATCAGGAGTGGCACTGTAGTTGCTTAAAGCACAAACAGCTAAAATAACAAGTTCGTTTTAAGGTCTCTTGCCAGAGATTGTTGCTCTCGCTCACCTTTAGCTATTCTATCTTTTATTTTTATCGCTGCTGGCTGCTGCTCGAAAGGTGTTTAAAGTGCCTGATCTTCCTGGCAGCAATAAATTCAATTTTCTGGCTAAATAATCGCTGTAATTAAGAGATGCCCACGCACAGATACAGACACATCAACACACACACACTCACACACACACACACACATCTACACACACACACACATCTACACACACACAAGTGCAAATCAAACAAACAAAATGCCATTACAAGCGCCTGCTCCTGTTTTCTGCGGTTGCCTCTCGATATGGCCCATTATGGAGCTCTACATTTTGGCCTAAGGGTCGTCGCTTGAAATACCTGCAAAAATGTTCGCATCCCATTAAATTGGGCAACATACGCGTTAATGGCTGTCTCTTTATGTGTGTGTGTGCTTAGCTGACGGTTGCCAAGGGTGGTAAGTGGAGCGAGAGAGAGGCAGAGAGAGAGGGAGACAGCAAAGGATGTGGGGCTGGCAACGAATCCCGGTGCTGGCATTTCATCATTGCCTTTGCCAGTCAGGCTCTGAGTGCGATTTTAATGAGTGAAATGAAGTACTACTTGTCGAATGCAAACCGAGTGCGAGGCCGCTGCGAAAGCGTGCAGAAAAATATTAGGGCTGCAATTGTAGTTTCACAAATTATTAGAAAACGCAAAAGGCATATTTAAGTCAAGTTTGTTGCTCTTAATGTGGCTTAAATAATTATCACTGTGCAGTATTTATTTCGAAATGTTTCAATTTAAATATCTCACAGCAATTTAGGCACCGTCAAAGTTATTGAACAGCCCTCGCTTTAATTTGGTTTGCTCAGCACAAATTGAAATAGAACTCGTTACGAGTTTGGCCAACATGGCGTATGCGTAACTCGCCGATACCAAACGCATTTCTCATAACGCACTCAGTGACACAGCTCCGTCAGCTGTTGATATTCAATGTTCAATTGTACAACATACCCAAGCCAGGTGCAAAAGTCACTTGCCAAACGCTCCTTTGGCAGTGCTCAAAGAAGGAAGACCTTAAGACCTGCTTTCACTTCAAATGCCACCAAGTAGTTTGTTGTCTGTTGCAGTTGCACTGTCAAAACACAAAGTGTCGCCTTACAGCTATGCAATCGAGGAGTGATAACGATTTAGCTGGGCTGCAACAGTTTATCTGTTTGCCTTTTCAGCTAAGTTTGGCATTAAGTTGCCTTCAGTGAACTGACTTGACTTTCATCATCATCAAAGCGAATAATCACAAAACTAAACGAAACGAAAGAAAATCCGTCAACACCCAACTTCAGCATGATGATCATGATCATGATGATGATGATGATGATGAGCTTGGCCCTTGACGGTCGAGTTGTCAAGTTGCCACTTTCATTTCGAAGCATTTAATTATTTGAAAAATACGCAGATTCGTTTTAAATTACCGAGCTGTGCAGCATCCGATTGCCTTTCACTGCAGGAAATCAGCTTGAGATTGAAACCAAATAGTGTGTGAAAGGGCATTACATATAATATATATATATATATATATATATATATAAATATATATATATTTTACTTGACTTAATAGTTAGCAGCTTGCCTAACACCATTTGATGGAGTTGTACAAAAAAGAATGTTGAAGACGTTTCCAATGTGATTTTTCAATTGATTTTTGTATCTTTTTGTATCTTTTTGCATCTTTTGGTATCTTTTGGTATCTTTTTGTATCTTTTTGTATCTGTTTAGATTTTTTTGGTAGAATACTTAAAGCGTTATAAAGTAAAATCGTTTAAGAACTGAATTGACAGCCCAGGGTTGCACTAGATTGGCCACAAAATGTCGCTTTCAGTTTTTATCTAATGCAGCAAGCATTGCAACTGAAACATGTTGCAGGCAACAAG